GTGAAAGTGGCGGAGTCAAAAATACCAGCAAAGAATGTCCCCCTTTAATCTAAAATCGACGGGTCTGAGCGTTTTTCTACAATCTTGACGCAGTTCTTGAAAATGGCTCTGTTTCGTTTTCATTTGGCCACCCTGTATATTATCATTAAAGAACAGATGGGGGACTTACATAATTGAGACAAGAAGAGGAATTACTTACAACTATGGTGTAAGTTAGATATATTTTTTCTATTAAGTACATCTCTCTAGGACATATGTTGTACATACAATAGATCTATAAAAGTAAAAGTAAAGGTTCAATTACTTTTATTTTCATTGTGTAGGTAATTAAAAATACTAATAGCCACCCAATTAAGAATAATTATAATATCAATTTCTAACAATGTGAACGAATGATTGCATCAATTGTGAGAATACATAAACAACCATTCAAACATTATTTGTTTAATTCCCAGGAAGAGAATCTTTAAGAAAACAGAAAATAGACACAAAAGGAAATTAATATTTTAATATTCGGATTCTGGAATATACCTCTAACTCCTCATGAACATTCATTTTTTTTTCAATAAAAATATAAATAGAATTATAATCATTCAATTAATCAGTATAGTATTACAAATCGCAGTTAATTAAATGGTAAATGGATCATACGTATATACAATATATCCAAGGGTTATTATCGCCCGGAAGAAAAACCGTTTTATTTTTTTCCAAAAATCATTTTGTGTTCAAAAAAATAAAGAAAATTTGAAATGGTTTAAGAGCGAAATGGTTTTATTTTCAAATTTTCGTTCTTTTACTGTCACATTTTCATATTTTTAACATGATAAAAATAAAAAAAATTTTTCTAATTTTCCTAATTTTTTCTGTGGTAATGTGATTTTTTTGACAAGTAAAAATTTTTTTGAATAATAATAATTCTTCTCAAAAGAACAACATTAAAAAAATGTTCTCCTCTGGGCAGTAATCCATGAACACTTTACAGATGGTGGTATACATTATCTGTTAACATTAAAATCATATTGCAATAGCGAAAAGTGAGAATATAAAAAAATTCACATCTTCGTAAATAAATATTGCGCTAATCTTACTCCAAGGTAAATATAAATGAAATATGCATACGATAACGATACATATTCCATATTTTTATGTGTATCTGTATATTTAAATGTTTTCTGCATTTGCATTAAATATACAACAGAATAGAAAGTGGATCTCTGAAAATAAGTAATAGGTCAAAATATCAAATCGGAAGAACGTTAGAGACCCTGCAATTATTTATTTGTGGAATTTTATTTATTCTTTTTAGTTGATTGAATATTTCTGCATACTGAAAAAAAGTAGTAATAATAAATAACTCAAATAAAAAGAGAAACGTACACTTTATTTTTTTAAATAGAAATAATGGTAAAATATTATACATTTTGGAATGCAAAATTGATTCTGATTCTTTTGATTGTATTTAACACTTTGATACATTTTATATTTTAATTTTTCCTTCAAATATTTTCTTACTCTTTTTTAGATATCAGTAATATAAGATTTTTCTCGTTTCTAAATTGCTATAGCTAAATAAAATTATTACAACTATAACATTATTGTAACATACAATATGTTATGTATGATGAAAACTCGCCGTTATTCTTTGCGAATACCACGAAGTTTTTATAATAGTTTTTATGATTCTCAACTAGCATAAGAACCACCGTTTATCTGTGAAACGATATAGTATGTTTGCGGCTTTTACCAATAAATATAGTGTTATTAGTAAGGTGCGAGTTTTACTTCCTGAAAACAGAACACAATATATTAGCAAAATATGTATACAATACTTGTAGACAATTAGACATGTATTATTTACCAATACTAATTACAATTTTCTTTTTTCCAGCAATTTCCTCCAAACGCAGAAAGAGGGACCCAGCTATCACCGCAACAACAGGGTCAGATCCTAAGTGACATCCAGCAGCATCACAGATTTAATGTGCCACAGAGTCAACAAACGTTTCAGCCGCAGCATTTCGCAAGACAACAAATTTTTAATCAAGGAGCAAGTCAAACGTTCCAAAACAATCCTCAATTTATAAATCAACCACAAGATTCTTTCGCTCAAGACGAATCTCCACTGTCCTTGCCACTGCAATATAACCAACAACAAAATCATGCTACTCAACAGACTGACGTCCTTAGTCAACAATTTCTAAATCAGAATCGCGAACAATTTGCACAAAATCAATTTTTGAGTACTTTGCCACTTGTAAATTCTTTACCTCAAACGCCACAATCTTCTCAACTGAATGTGTACAACCAACAACAACCTTTGTTAACAACGAATCAACAAGTGCAACCCAAAGTTGAAACTACAAAAAACGCAAACCATGGCATTATACAACATCATACACAAACTAATTTCCAACCAAATTTTGCGAGCCAATCAAGATCTGGACAAATATTAAATCCTAGTCATACTTTTGGATCGCAGCAACAGTTCAGTAAACCAAGACCGACCATAGATCCAATTGTTGCTATAGAAGAGCAAATCAAGGAGTTGGATCCAGAAAAACATAAACAAAAAATTAGAGAACTGAGAGAAAAACAGGCAATAATAGAAAAACATAATCAGTTCGTAGAAAGACAATATGAAAAAGCACTTAAAAAGGCACAGCAGGACCATGAAGAATTTATAGAACAACAAAAGGAACAAAAAAAGAAACTGTACCAAAAAGTACATAGACAACCTGGAACAGAAAATTTACATTACTCTCATACATCAGTTCCTAGATATATTTATCCGGAAGAAGTAGGTTTATTTGAACAAGCAGTGAAACAGTATTATCAAGAACACCCAACAACTACAACCACAACAACGACAACAACTCCACCACCTACGACAACGATAAAATCAACGAAAAAAGACAAGACCACCTCTTTCCTTCCCACAGCTCTCCCCGCGGCCAGTAACAAAGTAAAAACGATACAATCTATCGAAGACTTAGATCAGCTACAGAAACAGTATAAATCGCAAAGAATTCGTAAAGACGACTTACTTGAACAATTAAGATTAGCTATCGGCAAAAATACTGAAGATGAAGAAAAAAAAAATGTGTCCTCGAGAGAAATTTCGTTAGCTAACGGTAAGACGATTAAACTCATCGAAGCAACAGATCCGAAGGATATACCAAACGGAAAAGAAGAAGAAATTATTTTACCGAATGGACAAAAAGTAACTGTCATTCGAGCAGACAATCCGAGCATACCTGCGACTAAACCGGAAGAAATATCATTACCCGATGGCCAAACGTTGCAAGTTATTAGAACAACTGATCCGAAAGCTGTTCCGGGAGGAGACGCTGATGCCCCGCAAGAAATCACTCTGCCAAATGGTCAAAAGGCACAACTGGTTAAAACATCGAATCCTAAGTCGATTACTGCTGCTGCTTCTGCTCCCAAACCAATTTACAAAGCAGAGGAAATAACTTTGCCCAATGGTGAGAAGGTGGAAGTTATTAAAACAACAGACCCGAGCCTTGTCCCTGGTGGCGTAAAAATAGAACCAGGAAGTGAATTAGAAAAGTTGGTGTTATCTAGAACAACGACGACTACGACAACGACTATTAAACCACCAAAAGAAATTTTAGAAGAACTTACGAAAGGGGTACCAGCTTCTAACTTCGAATTATTGAAAACAGGTGCTAGTGGTGGATTTGAATCGATAGGAAAAAATTTGCCTAACGAAAAAAAAGTAACATTTGTTCTGTTGGAAGAACAGAGTGACGGTACATTGAAAGTTCAAGGCATTAAAGGCAATGGGAAAGACAAACCTGAAGTGGATATCGATTCCATCTTAAAAAAACTTAAAGATGGGCAAATTAAATTACCAGCTGCTCCTAAATCTACAACAACTACAACAACTACCACATCTACAACAACCACGAAGAGGCCTGAAGTTTCAACTGCATACAGACCCCTTTCTTCGGTAACATTTTCCCCTAACTCATACCTGTCCGAAGATGAACTAGAAAGTAAATTTTCATTCGTTCCAACGACATCTTCAGTATATACCAAAGCTTCAACTTTGGACACAAGTGCGTTTACATCAGAGGATTCCATTAACGTACCTATTTTGAAAACTAGTTTTGGAACACATACCCGAACATTACCGACTTCCTCTTCTCTTTACACTAGGGACTACTTTACTACGAAGAGCACTACCTCGCCACCCATTTCAACGTATAAAAACGAATACAACAAACCCACACGAAGGCCTTATATTCTGAATTATTCTCAAAACGATTTGATCAGGCAAGCTTCAACCGTCTCTTCTTTAAATCAAAATTCTCTCTCATCGAATAATTTCAATTCTGCATCGACACATCTACCTAAGCCTAGTTCTACAAGTTTTCCATCATCAGTGAGCATATATCAAAATGTTTCACCAACTCTACCGACACCGTCACACCGTCAAAATATCAATCCGACCCAACAAACCTTCTCTCAACAAAAGACTAGAGTATCAGTGGAATTACCTGAAATTTTGAAAAAGAATGGCCTCTACGCCATGGCTAAGTTTTTAAGGCAATCTGGATTAGACACCATCCTAAATGAAACAGGTCCGTACACCGTATTTGTACCAACTGATAAAGCATTTAGAACACTATTGGTACAACTTGGTGGGCCTGAAAAAGCTGAAGAAAAGTTCAAAGAAAATCCCAGGTTACTTAGCGGGGTGAGTAATGACATCTTCCATTTTATTGTAACGTAATGGCAACCTTGAAACTTTCAAATTTACTGTTTAAATTTAAAACGAGGAAATAATTCGCGTAAAGGAAATTTTATATGTGATATTTTCTACCAGGAAAGAACATCCGAACAACAGAGATTTAGTCGCATCTGACGACTATCTTCGGTTGCTCTCCAAAGATTAAACCTTGTGTTATAAATTACTCAATAATGATTACATAAGTATATTTATTGACATTCAAGTATATTCAAGAGTTATAACGATAAAGAAATTAATAATTGCTTCCGGCTAATTATTTAAGTCTTCACCTTCATAAAGAGTTATAGCACAACCTGTCAAAAATCAAGAACTGTTTTCTTGGTACACCTCTCTCGTACAGGGTGTCCAGGAAATGATGGGCATTTCTTTGGATTTCTATAGGCTCACTCACTACATTATATGAAACTATTCGAAAAATAATGTAATTGTTATTATAAAATACGTGAAATTAGATAGGTAATTAATAAAAATGACTGAACTGTTTTAACATGCGAAATATAATATTTACTACAACTATTTACCAGGATAGTTTATTTAACTTTTTGAATAAAAATCACAATTTATATGAATTATATTTCAAGACATAACAAAGCTTTCTCTTCAAATCAAATCAAATCAAAAATATGTATACAATTTGCTGTTTTTGTATTAATTAAACATTAACTCTAAAAAAACACTAAACTAAATTCGAAACTATTTATTAACATAATTCAAAGTAGTAATCCTGAACGAAACTAATTTGGCTACTTTTTTTACAAACTTTGATACCGCTTGGAAAGTTTAAAGTGAAAATGATCAAGAAAGTTATTTAAAATTTATTATCGTACGAAGCATCTGTTACAGACAGCCTAAAAAAATTTCTCATAATAATAATCATAATACTTTAGTGATTTTACATAAGCATATCTAATAAGGAAACATTGAGTATTAGCAGTATTAAGTTTTTCACATCGTATGAAACAAAGTATAGTAACTATATTGAACTTCAAAGTAATAACTTAAATTTATATTTTGTTTACTTTTTATGATTACCGTAAAGTTGCAATTTTGTAATTGCAGCAAACAATCCAATCTAAAATAATTTATTTATTTATGGAGATCTGAAAAACGAAAGGAAACTAGGATAAATAGATAATTAAGTTAATCAATCTGACATCTATGTAAAATGCTGAAGGCAGAATTTCTACACATTACTTCGAAACCTGTTTAAGTAAACTGAATGAACTGTGCAAATGCGCAACATCATAATTAGAATAGCATGGTATATAAAACATTTAATAAGTAAAAAATCTAGATCACCATGTTAAATTTGAAAATTGGAAAAAAGATCCAATGAAATTACAAAACTTTGCAAACAATACATTTAGCAAAGCATATCGATTACCATGACCAATCGTTAACTGAAGACACCTGAAAAAATGGATGGTTAATTGAAAAAAAAATGGTAATCGGAGACGCTATTTTTAAGTCGCTTTTGAAACACGATTGTTTACAGCGGTTAGCGTTATGTTTACCTACATAAATTTGTCTGTTAGTATTTAATAAAATATTTAACTCAGTGTCGTCTAGTCTTAGATTTATTACAATTTTGCCACACATGTTACACAAATATCAAACATGTCAAAAAATTGTGTAATTCACTAGTATCCAGAAAATTTTATAGGCACAAATAATTAACAAGCTAGTTATAATTTATGATTTTTTGCGTGCTGAATAGGCAAATGCCATGTCGTATTAAATAAATGTGCTAAATGAAGAGGGTGCCACGAGACTGTGAGTCCGTTGTACAAAAAGCACCACGGCCAATTCTGACGTATTGTGTCTCCTACTTACATATTTATTCATTTAGCTAATTCTTTTCTTATACAAAAATTATCATGCATATAAGAAAGTTTTACTAAGGAGATTCAATGTCAGATATGCCAAGCTCTCACAAAAGTCACAGCACATCTTGTTTGAGACTTTTACTGCAATACATATATCGCAGATGCATAATGCTCTGTCACATATGCACTCCTAGCAAATATTTCAGTTTCAGCAGTAGGGAAAAGCATTGTATATATTCTTTTATGCGAATCTCGAAAATGTTGTGATGTTAAATTTTGCAACCATCTTTTCTTAAAAATAAGCTCCCACTATAGTACATTCAAGATCTTGAAACTTGAAAGTGCACCTTTTTTGTCGTACGATCCTGCACTGTCTTTGTTGATACGCAAAGCACAATCGCAATATGAAGTGGTAGCAAATTTAATGAAACTTCCAAGACATCAGTTTTTTGTTGTCGATACAGCCTAATCTTTGAAAATTCATTTTTTTTTCTGTTGCTCCTGTTTTTGCTGTTAGGTATCGGTTCGCACATAATGATCACCTAGCCTTTCCAAATTTCCAAATTTTGCTTCTAGTGTCAACCCAGACGCTTGACCTATACAACTTGACGCCTATTGTGAGCAGTCTAATATCTATATTTATTATTAATTTATTATATTACATTTTTGCTTGACACACCGCCAACGCTGTTGTAGTTCCCGAATGCTGGGACAACTAAATCGTTCGCATAAGCCTGGAAATAAAGCCCAGTCTTATTCCCCTTATTACTTAAAACAGGGACAAAAGTTTGTATGTGTGTTTAGATATGAGTTTTTGGTCACGATGTATGTTTAGTGTAATTATTACAGAACATGTTTTTTTTAATTAATATTAAATTTAAAGTAGAGAGCAGAAACATACAGTTGGTGCTGTAATATCACATGATGATAATGCATTTCTTAGCTTATAAAGCAAACAATTTTAAAATTTATTTGAATTATCTCTGTCTCTAGTCCATTTCGATTAGTTTGTATTGTTGAATATGACATTTTTAGTTCAAAGTATCATTTGCTCAAATAAAATAAAAATNCTCGTTGATTCTAAAGCCGCTCTTTCGTACCCTCTATAACTGATTTCATCCAATACTTCTAAACGTTTCACTCTTCCTCTGACGGCATCTTCAGTAGTAACTCTACAAATGCTTCACCCCTACTGAGGCGCAAGCTCAGTCGCGGCGAAGCATTTGCAAAGTCACCACTGAGGATGACGAGATCTCGACTTGTTATATGAATAACACTATGGTTTGGGTTATGATTTCGATTAGTTTGTATTGTTGAATATGACATTTTTAGTTCAAAGTATCATTTGCTCAAATAAAATAAAAATTGACCAGTCTGAACGTATTTCTTATATAAAGGGCAACTTGCATGAAAATTTAACCCTGAGGTAATTTTTTTTAAATGTTTATTTTTTTTCTCAAATTGTTTTTAAGTGCATAAAACTAAGTGAAATAAAAATAATTATTTTTTTTACGTTTTGGATTAGGTCGAAATATGGCGTCGTTTTAAAAAGATGGTAAGGCTATACATATCTACGTTTAGAATAAGACAAGGTTGTAAAAATACAAACTACATTTTAAGGAGAACATAAAATTAACGGTTTTTTCGAAGCAATTAAAGTGTGTGGTTGAATGATTTCCGGGCTGGTTGCCACGTCGTCGATTTATAATGTTTCGAGAGACATATCGCTCGCTCTCTTCTTCAGAAGTTACTCTGAAACTGGAGACCTGCTAATATTGTCACTTTTTATATTTGATGTGGTCACTGGTCTGGTGGGTGACCTCTGTATAAAACTAAGTGATCCACTTGGTCATACCGAGAAAATTCGTTTGTATTTTTCCAGTAACTGACGCAACTGACCTTCGAAATTTCAATTAGTCCAATTTTCCGTCACAGCCTTTATAGAGTCGCCAAGCATTTTGCATAGCCATAACTATGCAAATAATGGAAAGTACCATTTATTTCCTCTTATTGCCACCCTATACTCATTAAGATTTTAGTCAGCCCTGTCTACACCTGCCATATTTTCGTTGTAGAATTTTATAAATTTTGGCTGATCTACATAAATATTTTTTTTCGGATTGGAAAAATCTCTTTGCCTTATTTAATGGAAACACTGATAAAATAATAGAAACTACATTTACTACACTGTTCTCGTTCCATTTACAAATTACAATTTTATTATCGACAATCGACAATCAAAAATCCCCGTTCCTTCTTTTTCATTGTCGCTGCATTGAATAAAGGTGACCGTGGGATTCGATTTTCCCTTTGTTCAAGTAGCTTTTATACCTCTTAGTTTGAGTTCTTTGAATAGAAAAAAAATTGTCAAAATATAAATGGAATGACTTGTATGACATTTTCTGTAGTGCATCTGCGTACTGCAATACAATGCAAAGTCCAAGATCCAAATGTTTATATTTTTCAAATAGCGTGCACGAGAAACCTTGGTATGGATCAAAATGAATTATGTAACCCAATTGCAATGACTCAGTCCAAAATTTATATCCCTATCGAATAGGTTTTCCCCTTATAAACTGCTTTGCACTATGACGACCGTGGTAGGGTACCATTGACTCGCCAATGCTATGAGATTCTTCGACGGGGGCGTGTTTAAAAAATTTCTTATTCAGGATATCAAACATTTCTCATATCTCATTTTTGCATATTTGTCAGCATTATCCAACTGAGTGTTATCGTTGCAATGAATATTGCTGAATTGGAATCTATCACATGATATTGCATCATACACCATTATTAATTGTATCTCTATTTTACCAATACAATTTCTTTTGCGGTAATGCTATGTAACCACACTAGAACACCGATAAAGCAAAATAGTTCCCTCTCGGTTATTCTCCTGTACGGTTATGCTGCTTAGCAAATATATTGGTAAAATACAAAATTTGACTCATTACATCCTTGTCAAAAAACAATCGGAACGTAGCTACGGGGGAAAGATTGTTACGAACGATCGTCACTGGTTGCCATTTTGAAAAGCTCGATTCTTTTAAATCACCATTTTTGTAATCAAAAATTTTCACTAGTTTTGGTTTTCGTTCTATAAATGTTGAAAGAGATTTTTCGTCGTCACTCTCCCAGCCATCTACCGATGCGTCTTGTAATTCTGCTTCAGCTCTTATCTGAGATCCGGGCAAATTATTCATCTCGACTACAATTTCGTCCCCCGATTTTTCGTCAGTGTCACCATCTTCATTCGCATTATCTGGTGGAAAAATTGTTATACTATCTGGAATATCGGCGCCATCGTCTTCTTCAATTAGTTCAATTAATTCAGTCAAAGTGATGGGTTTTTTCCAATAACTGAAAAAAAAAACAAATCAATCAAAAGTAGTACATAAACCTACCGTCCTTTTAAAAGGGCGGAGTTACTTCTAACCATCTACTAAACCGGCAATCGACTTAAAGGTAAGGTTTTGTGAATTTACGCAACAATAAAGTAAAACATATATAAAAACTAATCAAATGTATCTGCCACAATTATAAAACTTACCTCCAATTATTCATTGCAAGCTGGAACGTAATACTGCCAAAAACAGTTAGTTGAGAAAACCACTCAAAAAACTTAATAAATTGCAAATGCTAGTTATGTATTATATCTCATTATTATGAACCGTTGGGCTTTAGTGGCGCCATCTAAATTTGGAAAGGTGTACTTCACTAGGATGAGTATGTTTATACCGTCCTTTTAAAAGGACGGTAGGCTTAAATGGGTATTAATATAAAATTGCATAAAGTAGTCTGTAATTGACAATAGGTGTAAAAAAATATTTAATGCTACAAATTAATTACAGATGTTTAAAATTATGTAAAAATTTAAATTTTGTCAAGTCAATAAATGACGTCGCAGCAGGAACGTATTGTGACGTCGTTTAGTGCGACTGGGAACACGATCACAGCCGTCTAGTTTACAATTTCCATACCGACGAAACGGAACATAATCTAAAGAGATGCGCATACCGGGAGCCTGAAAGTAAAGTGAATTTGGCTGCTTATAAACTCTGTTTACCTTCTATACTCAAGCTATCGGACCGTGCTGTCCGATCTCTTCTCTTCTCCCGATTATCGATAACGATGTCTAGATACAACCGATCCACTTTGCTTTAAGACTAATATGGACGCTTTTCTTGATTTGAAGTAAAAGAAAACAAAGTGATAGGTTAAAGGTTTTAAGGCATTCACAGTCCATGAAGTATCTTGCACTTTCTTAGCCTTAGCTAGGAATCTTTAATTTCTCGTTGATTCTAAAGCCGCTCTTTCGTACCCTCTATAACTGATTTCATCCAATACTTCTAAACGTTTCACTCTTCCTCTGACGGCATCTTCAGTAGTAACTCTACAAATGCTTCACCCCTACTGAGGCGCAAGCTCAGTCGCGGCGAAGCATTTGCAAAGTCACCACTGAGGATGACGAGATCTCGACTTGTTATATGAATAACACTATGGTTTGGGTTATGTGATGAAAATCAGTTTACACTTTGTCAAAAAATAATGCAATGACTGATTTAGTACTTATAAAATTTATATATTTATTTATTTGCAGCTTCTACTTCATCACGTAATCCCCGGCGCCTTCACTATAGGATCTCTTCAAGACGAGATGACAGGAGTTTCTTTGGCTGGAACGCAACTGCGTGTGAATCAGTACAACATGCACGACTTAGAGTGGAATGATGTAAAGGTTTGCATTAAAACAAGAATCACGTATTTTGTCTTTAGTTTATTTCCTTCATAAAAAATTTGACGCAGAAGATATTTTAAATGATTTATGTTTCGATGTGTGAAAGTGAAAATTTCCATCACATTCTAAGAGCGAATCGTCTTTGGTGTCTCTTGAACAACAAAGATTTCTGTGGTTGCACAATGATTACGACAAATGTTCACATTATTAAACTGATGTATTTTGTTGGTTAATCTAGCTACCTAATAATTGCTAATTTCAAAACATGGCATTATGAAAGTTTCCTAAGAAAATAATAGTAAAAGGTTTGCAAATTTAAAAATATTATGTTCCTAAATTATGACCCTTACATACCAAAATTAACATCGTCGTCGTTTTTAACACAGTTATTGTTAAAAGTGGATTTCTCAAAAATACTAAGGTTATATTTGATAAGTAACGTATTTAAAAATAATACCACCAAATTCTGTTAATCTTCTTATACTGAGTGTAACTAAAATTTTTGACAGTCTTTAATACATCACAAATAAATAAGAAATGTTTCCATAAAAGAGCACAAATTTTCGAAATACAAATTATTCAATATTAATGAAAATAATGAATAAAAAGGTTTGCAAAAAATAGTCCAGAAAAACATTTAAATAATACTTTATGTTATTCACGGGCAATGTGATTATTTGAATTAACATAATTTCAAAAATAACTTTTTTGTAATTTATCTCGAAAGGATGCACCCTAGAGACATGCAGCAAGATCTTATTTTTCTGAAGCCTTCATTATACTGCGAGTTTGAAATATCTTGGAAAAAAAAAAGTTGCAGGTAAAAACTATAACATTTTATGTAAAGGATCTATGAGACATGCATACGTTTATGGGCAATCAAAACCTAAAGCTGCATACTTAAATGGAATTAAATCGCTTCATTCCCCTATATCTCAAAGGAACAAAATAAATGTTTTAAACGTAGCGTAGTCTAAAAAAGGGCGACGATATATAAAAATTATTTTTAGGAATACAGGGTGTCCCGTTCATGTTGCAAAAAAACTTGTGTGCAAGTTCCTCATGGGAAAATAAAGCGTATTGCTTTTCAAGATTTCAGTACCTAAAAACGACAGAAATTTGACAATTCCTTGGCCAGGGATATGGCCACCTTAAATCGGCTAAAGATAAAAATGTCAAAATTTGTACACGAGTAAACATCAATTGTGCTTTAAGAATAATGTGCAAACGGTTTCTTTCTGAAAAGCAGAGTCGCCGATACAGGTAATTGAAGGGGTACAATCGAAGAAAAAATATGTTAAAAGTCAAAATTGATTACATTTTTAAACGGTTCTGTAACCTCTAAAGAATACTACAAAAAAAAGGTATACTTGTCGAAATTCGGTAGCATGTACCATTTTCGAGAAAAATGAAGTTGAATTTTTTTTACTCACATAAAGCGGCGCAAGTACATTAACAAAATATTAAATTGAAAGATGACCTTACCATTGAATGTGCTGAAGGCATTTAGCTGCAAGTATTTGCATTTAAGACAATAATTTTAATTTCTTACGTATCACATGAAACAGTTAAATTGTAAAACATTTTAACTATAAAAAAAATTAAATTTATTTTAAGTTTCAGTTTGTTTTAAACTAACATTTAAAATAGTAAATCAAAATTAACAGATTATGGTAATTAATTTTCTATTATTAACTAATTTTAGATTTTTCAAACTACTACATTACCATTACTAAAATAAACTATTAATTGTTGAATGGACTGAATTGTTGATAAACATGAATGCTTAAAAAAGTGATAAACACAGTAAAATATTAGGAAGCAGACATACAGAACAAAACAACTGCACAATTAAATAAATGTGCAAACTCGAAATACTATAGTAGATACTGAAATTGTCATTTCCTTCTATGCAGCTTCATTTTTTTCGAAAATGGTACATGCTACCGATTTTTGACAAGTATATATGCTTTGGAGTTCACAGAACCGTTTAAAAATGTAATAAATTTTGACTTTTAACATATTTTTTTCGATTGTACCCCTCCAATTACCTTTATCGGCGACACTGCATTTCAGAAAGAAACCGTTTGCACATTATTCTTAACACACAGTTGATGTTTACTCGTGTACAAATTTTGACATTTTTATCTTTAGCCGATTTAAAGATAATTAAGGAAAACCATTTGGAAAGTAACAACTTCAACACACTGTATCTCGAAAACAGGGCGACTAAGAAAAAAAATTTACATGAACTACCCCTATTATTTTTCCATGAGGAACTTGCACACAAGTTTTTTTTAAACATGAACGGGACACCCTGTATAGATATTTAAAAATCTATAACAAAAGTCTATTAACAAATTCCTTATACATATGTTAGTACCTACTATTCTCGTCAACAATTATAAACATGGACTACAACTTGTCAGTTTATTACAAACCGTACGATGTTCGACTTTAATTGTCATATGTATTGTGTAAAAGCTAATCAATCTGTGGGTTACAGAATTTATAAAAAAAAGTAACATTTCTTCCAGATAATTTAAACTGATTTTAAGAATTAGTATAATTAGAAACAATTAGTACAATTAGAAATTAGTGACTTCTAACATCTCTCATTTTCTAAAATATTTGCGTCAACTTTTACCAATTACACACAAAGTAATTTATCATGTAATCAATAATCAACTAGGAGATACAGTTTTTTTCGGACTGTTAAGTGAAATGGAACTCTTACTTATTAACGAACTACAAAGTGCAATATACATAGACATTTCACTTTTTAATGTTATTTAATACAACAGCAGCAGACAATTAACAATAAGAGCTTTACATACTTTCTCCGAACGTAATTAAAGAAATGTATTATAATTTTTATATAATTTAGATGGGTGTTTTATTGCAGCAAATTCATACCCGCTTTTTTTATTTGAATATTGAATTTTTAGTTAAACTTGTCAAAATTTCGTTTGGAGAATTTTTGGTTTCAATACAGTTTGTATAAATGTGAATATATCGGCATTTTAACAAACAGAATATTATATCAGCAAAAAAACTTTAATTTTTTAGTGATTTTTGAAAGGCTGTCACTTCGTGAGTAATGGTCGTATCGAGAAAAAAAAAGAAGTATCTTGAAACTTGAAAATTCTAGTTTTGAAATCTTGAGATGAAAAATTTTTTTAAGCATCATTCTAGGTGCAATCAAAAGAAATAATGCAAGGCAAAAATTTTACATTTTTTATTTTTCAAAACTGCCAATGGAAAACTTTTTCTGACAATCGATGGCAAGGTCATTTAGCCTGATTCCTCAACTTCAATTTGTTTTTTTTTTATTTTCTGTACGATTATTTCTCATTGAGATATCGGCTATTGAGAGTTTTTTTTGATCATCGATATCTCATGAACAAATGATCGTACAGAGAACGGAAGGTGGGTTTTAGTTTGAATCAGTCCTCTTCAAGGGCCTTTTGGTATGATTGAGAATTTTTTTTATACTCAGTATTAATTTGAAATAGTGCAAAGAAATTAATTTTTCTGCTAGTTTGGAAAATCGACGACTATTTTGCGAATATTGCGAAAAGTACAAAAGTTTTTTTTAGCTCAATATAAGCCCATGAGGCCTGTAAATTTTGAAATCGATCGGTCGAACCGTTTTCCTTACCTGAATCTACAGTTTTATAAAAAATTTAAGAGCATTTTATGAATAAGATGAAAGAATTTTTTTTGTTTTATTTTTCTCATCAAATATCGAAAAAAAAAATTTTCAAAATTTGGAAAAAAATTCAATTTTGAAAAAAATCAAAAAATCGCTATACGATTTATTCATCCATTTTTCAAAAGTTTTCTAGCCTTTTTTATTATCAATTGTTTTCGACATTTGATAAGTAGCTATTCAATGTGAAATTGTGAAATAAATAACGCAAAAAAAATTTTGAAAAATTTGATTTTTTCGATATTTTATCGCGAAATTGTGAAAAAAAAAAACGCAAAAAATTTTGTTTCATCTTAATCATGATTATTTGATATTTAAGGAGCAATAAACCTGCTCCTTTAATTTTTTATAAAACTGACGATTCCGGAAAGGAAAACGGTTCAACCGAGCGATTTTAAAATTTACAGGCCTCATGGGTATGTATTGAGCTATTTTATATAGAATTGAATTTCCCATCGAAATGGCTTATTTAAAAAATTTAAAAGAAAAATTTTATTCAACAAATCATTAATAAACAATTTTAAAAAAGTAAAAAATAAGATTTTTTTGATTTTTTTTACTTTTTTGACTATTATTTTTTAGTAGAAGTAGGCAAAGAAAATTGCGGTACAAAAAAACTAGATGAAATTCCCTTCAAAATGATGCATTTTCCAGTTTTTTGACTAATATTGACTGAGTTATAACCAGTCAAACTTAAATATTTTTTAGATTTTCGTCGTTTTTAACATAAATTAGTCAAAAACGAAAAAAATAAAAAAAATCTTATTTTTTGCTTTTTTTAATTGTTTATTAACGATTTTTTGCATAAAATTTTTCTTTTAAATTTTTTAAATAAGCCACTTTGATGGTAAATTCGATTCTCTATAAAATTTTTCCTATGAACTATATTGAAATTTTGCTTAATTTTCGTGCAATATTTCAAAAACTGCAAAAGTGCATTTTCACCCTTATCTTCCATTTCAACCCTCTAATTTAATAGCACCCCGCGGTTTTTTCATTTTTAATGACCCTTCGAACAAGTCATGTGATGAAAATCCTTGAACGAATCTTTCCTTCTTTGCAAAAAAATGAGAATTAAAACGTATAAGGGTAAACGCGACAAAAATCGAAAAATCAGCTAAGTTTGGGAAGCCATTGAGTTAATTCTCATACAAAAATACTGTATAACCTCTTTTTTTTAAGGAAATTGTATCTACTTTTTTTTATGAAGTAATGCCTATACCTATCTTTACTTAAAAAAAAACTAGAGGCAAAAAAGTAAAAAATAAATAAAAAAATCTTATTTTTTGCTTTATTTCAAATTGTTTATTAACGATTTTTTTGCATAAAATTTTCTTTTTAAATTTTTTAAATAAGCCATTTCTATGGGAAATTCAATTCTCTAAATAATTTTTCCTATGAACTATAGCGAAATTTTGCTTCGTTTTCGTGCTACAATTAAAAAACTGAAAGGGGTGCATTTTCACCCCTATCTCCAATTTCCACCCTCTAATTTAATAGCACTCCGCGGTTTTTTCATCTAAAATGACCATTTGAACGATTAATGTAGTAAAATATTTTTTTTTTTAATCTTCTAGTCAATAGCCTAAATGTGCAACCTATTAGCTCAGTAAAAAAAAATTAAGAAGATATATTATTTTATCGAATAAAGCCCAAAAATGCGCATATCTCTTAACCTTTATGATTTTATTAGTTACCAATTTTTGAAAGAATTGCATCATCAATTTTTCATATGCAATCTGGAACCACGACATTATTTTTCACCCCTCAAAATACTCCCTACCAATTTCTCGAAAGATTTATTATTTTTCTTTTTTATACAAATTTAAATATACAGGGTATTGCAAATTAGTAGGTCAAGCCGTTAAAAATGGCATAAAAAAAGTCCCATTATTTTAGTCTAAAGAATATGTAGTTAACGGCTTTACCTACTATTTGTAACACCCTGTACAGTGTCTCTGGTATAGTTTAATTTACTTATTCTGTTAACTATTCACTTAGTTTCACAATTATAATAGAATACATCTATTTTCAGTATAAAACTTTAAAAGTTGTTTGCATTTTCGTTACATATTATTTAGAGTTGCTTAAGATATATTGTCGCGAGAAAAAAATTTGAAAAAATGTTTGTGTGGACGCATATTAATTAAGATACAAACGAAAGTAAACACGTTTTAAACATTAAAATACACCAAAAATTGAATAAAAGAATTCGAATCAAACTATGAGATTCATGTTCCTATTTTCTTTCGAAAATTATTGAATTTTTTGACTTTCAGTTAGGTACCATTATTTTTATTTAAATTACATAGAATGCTATGAGATCAAAACCTCCAAACATAATTTGTGTGATTGTTTCGCCTTTTTCAAATTTAACCTACTTCGTATGTCTTAAATTTTCAAGATACCAATGGTGAGAACTTAGAACTGAAATATGGTCAACCCTGTATACAGGGTGTCCCAACCACAGACTGCCCAAACTAAAATAAGACTATTTAGATCAATTCACCTAGTATGTACAAAAGCCAAGGCCTACTGTTACAAGAGTAGTTTAAAGTTTACATGATATTTGCTTCATCAGTAAAGTGTAACCAGTACCTTCTACCAATAACCACAAAAAGAATACTGTTTTTCATACTTGGGCTCTGAAAGACATAATTTTTGAAATGGCATGTTTGGCTCAATCACTACGAATTAGGATCAGAAATTTCCCATGTCCTAGAAAAGAGGACATAAAGTAATCTTTTAGCTTCAATGGGTCACAATAAAATTAACATAAGACTCATGACGAAATTTAAATGTTAGGCATATGTATTCACTAATTAAACTAACCAATTAGATAATTAGAGGATATTAAAACAATAGGGTTGCGTTTGTCGCTTAATTAATGTTAATAATATTCAAATTTTTCAATTAAAGTAAAAAGCGAACAACTACATTAACTGCATGTGATCGTTATTATGTTGTAGGTAACTACCATAAACGGAGCCAAGGTTCTAGAAGACAAAAAAGACATAGAGATACCCCAAGGTACAGCGCACGCTGTGGACAGAGTCATGTTCCCTCTACCCGTGGGAGATATCGTGCAGACTCTTCAGTCTGATAGGGAGCGAAGATTTACAAGCTTTCTCCGAGCGATTTTTGCCTCCGGGCTTGCCGAGACTTTGCAAGGTAGGTGCGGCTGATATTTCTATACTGTGGGAGAATGTGATATTTTTACTTCTGTTCATATTAGCGAAACATAAAGCATTCACAAATATATTTAATACATAGAGACCCCAAAAGCCTGCGAAATCGCGGCATGAATAGGGGAAAAGGTTTATATGTATAAAGTTTATATAAAATTAACTTACCTACATTCTAGAGCTCCTGAAAATTGTTTTTCTGAATATCGAAAGAGATAACACAGTACAATATGAAATTGGACATTATAGCTAGATAGATAGATAGATAGACAGACAGACAGATAGATAGATAAAAACACAAAACACAAAAAAAAAACAAAAAAGATAAAAACTATTAAGTATACATAAATAAAATTACTAAAAAAAGATCTTACACATAACATAAATAAAGCATTATTACTCGATGAAAATATAGTTTCTCAAATTTTGCCTGGTTTGGAAATTTGCCGTGATTATTTTGCTTGTATGCTTTTATACCGTTCGATAAAAAATTTACATATTTTATACAATTTTACAGTAAAGAAGTGCTTTCGTATCATTTCAGTACGATGCGCCATTTAAGATTGAATTAAAAGTTGTTACAAGACACAAGAATTTTGCACTCATAGACCATTTCAATTGATGGAATTACTTACAAATATCCTATGAGAATAACCATGTAGTACAAAATAAATTATGGTATATTTCAGTGCCATTACAGGGACACAAAAAAAAATAAAATAAAAAGGTTTCAGAAACATGGAGAAACAACTACTTACAAAAATGAAGTAAAACAAGAGTACAAGAAGACAGTGTTTGGTTAACATAATAACTTTATTGTCTTATTATCCTAAAAATCACCTTTACTAAATTATTATAATTTTAATATAATAAATTAGTATTTTTAACGATTGGTTTAAAAAATATATACATTTTCTTGTAAAATAAAATAATTATCCATGTTTTAAAGGCATGTTATGTGCTCACATATTTTACTCCAAAACGGTGCAACCATTGAAGTGATACAAGAGTATTTTGTCACTATAAAATTATTTAAAATGTCTATGTTTGGCTCAAACAATTGCAATTTCTGCAGACAAAAAAATTGGATCAATATTTATCCACCGTGTTACTTATATACAAAAATTGTCTGATGTAAAGTTATCTGATAATAAATAAAACAAAAATTAAAAATCCTCTGCACCTCTTAAACGAATTAAGATTTTGAAATCAAGTTTTTGTTATTAAAAGGGCTCTATAGCAAATAGACAACCAGCAATACATTTTTATAGACTTTATTACACAGCTTGTCTAAATATGAATTAATGCACAAATAACAGACTTTCCTCCATTCTAACGCCGATTTTCTATAAAATGGATTTAGTTTAAACTCAAATTACTTTTTATTGTAAAGTAATTTGTAATTTGTCACTTTTGAACAAGCGGCATCGTAGATTACAAATTTCTTTACACTAAAAAGTAATTTGAGTTTCAAACTAAGTCCATTTTATAGAAAATCTCTGTTAAAATGGGGGAAAGTCTGTTATTTGTGCATTAATTCATATTTAGACAAACTGTGTAATAAAATCTATAAAAATGTATTGCTGGTTGCTTATTTGCTATAGAGCCCTCTTAAACTTTTCTTAAAAATCGAAATACGGGAAGCCTCCTAAAAATGTCAAATTTGGCCCACTACACAAGCCGCTTGAATGTGATAAAACAATGAAATATAGAAATTAGTAGCTAATCTAATGGTAAACAAATAGTTTCCAAATTTTAGTTAGGCAGTCCAAACTAGAGAGGTTGTGATTAAATAATACCTTAATTTTTTTATTTTAAAGTCTTTAGAAAAATAGATTATCAAAATAGTGTTTTCTTATATTGAAAAATGAAAGATAATCAAAATAGTGTTTTTTTATATTGAAAAATGAAAGACAAATTTAGTTTTGTTGATCAAACACTGTTTTCTTATCTTTTTGTTTTGCTTATTTCTCTTAATTTTATTTTTGTTAATAGCTGTTTCTCTAAATAATTATTAAAATGTTTTATCCACGATTTTTTAAATACTATTACTTATATATAACTAATAATAAAGAGTAAAGACTGTATGATCCTTCACAAGTTGGAAATGAAACTCAGTTTCTGATTAATTACTCAAGAGCCATTTGGTGCAATATAGTAACAGAGCCTAAACAGTGGAGTCGGAATTATCAGAGGTCTACGTGGCATGAAGTTATTTGACAGGAAAGAAAATCTTCATTTACGTATTTTGAAGGACCATTTCCAATATAAACTTCTGAGTCTCCGTGTTTCCTTTTTTTTCCATAGAACATTAATGACAAAAAACCGAGTAAGGAGCGTTGTTATGAACCAAAACAACATAGCTGAAAGTCAATATATTAACTTCAAATATTCTACAAATTTATTTGAATGAACGACTGTCGAGGAATGGATTCAATTTTTCCATAATTACATGCCTTTAACTGTTGAGAAGTTAGAGCAAAATAATTGCTTTTTATCTATGATCTATTGCTAACGGGCATATAACATTCAACAAAAAAAGTTCGTCAAGAGACATAAAAATTTTGAAGACAGTCCATCCAAATTTACAAAAGATATTTCTCCTAATTCCACGTCACTGGTTACTTTTACTTCAAAATATTCTGACGTGAAGGTAACTAACTACTACAAAGAATCTTTTAATTCCAATGTTTTTTCAATCATTGACTACTCAAATCGATTTGAAATCTCGAAAATCACTTTCTAGAGCAGTTTTTTGATGTTAAGGTCAAAACACGAATTGATCCAACGATCAAAATACTATGAGATACGGTCTACGACCCAACCCACGTTTTCTCTGTAGAGCTATACCCTATAGAATCCTTACGAATTATTTTAGAGAAAAATGTTACTATTTTTTATTTGTTTTTATTACAAGAGGAATCAGTCCTGAAAATGTATAGCAACCGTATATTCTCTTTTTAGTTGTAATCCTGTTTTTAATCATATTTTGTGGCGTAATAAAAAATAAAACTCTTAAAATCACTTTAGGTTTTGATCATAAATTTATTTACTACTTGCTATTTTCATATTCTAATTCCCTTGACCTAGATTTTTTTAAAGTATACTGGAACTTTATTATATCTTATAAATGTTATGTTCTACAGGTTCGAAGACGTTTACCCTGTTTGCACCAACAGACAAAGCTTTCGCGGGGCTCTCCACCGAAGACCTTAGTCGGACAGTTACAGACAAAATCTTAGCGAGAGAATTAGTTTTAAGACATCTGTTACCAGGTACCCTCTACACGAATGGGATGAGGTATTACCAGATCAAAGACAGTCTGCTGCAAGATAGACAGTTGACGTTTAGCAAACAGTCAGGTAAGAACTGCAATTCTTTATTAATAATAATGAAAGATAAAATAAATTAAAATTTTAGAGTTATTTAAATTCCACCGGATTTTTTGTATACATATGGCGAATATATTGAACCTAGTAAAAATAATTCGGCACAAACATACGCACAATTTTCAAAATAAACACTGCGCCCTCTATATATACGCCATTGAATAATGTTTTAATCCTAAACTTTTATGAAAGAGAGTAATTAAATGGAATATTATATGTATGACCATAAAAAAACCGAAAATGTTCATCCTTTTTTGAGTTATTGCCAAATAACTCTTGGATAAATTGGACAAAAGTTTGTAAAACAAACAATTTTTGTGCTCTGTCTTCTAATATTTTGACACTCGCTGTGAACTAACCAATACAATATTAATATTACATTATTCTGTACAATACCATACTGAGACACCGTCAATTGATCATATAGTTGCCCGTGTATAATATCTCTTTCCTAAGAAGTACAAATATAGGGTATCGCTGAAATACATATTCTTCTACACTGCTGGCTATTTTGAAAATTCGATACTGCTTGTAACATCTAGTAGTATTTCTAAGAAAAAAGATCTCTTCCATTTTATTTAAAATACGAACAGTTACTCTTTTTTAACTTAGATTATCGTTACAAACAACCGAAAATATAAAACTAGCATTTTAAGAAAATTCCCATACCAGTTCATCCCAAAGTAGCATTAGATAATAACATGGATCATTCAACAATTCTTAGAATGCTAAAAAAGGAAAATTGACATCCTTATCTTAGTTCAGGAGCTTTTGGAAAACAATTTTGATAAACTAGTCGAATTTTGTGAAATTAACCGAAATCCGATGTTTCTAGAAAGACTCCTTTTTTCTGATGAAGGAGGAATGTAGATTCCTCCTAAATGGCCATATACCGTCGAACTAGCTCTCGTATTTTTTTACTCTATTTTAAAGGTATTAAGATAAAACTACAGCTGCTACTATTTATTACTAGCTTTTATTTAACTTATGCCTTGTTAGTATGAGTCAAATCTTGCAACTGAATTTTAAAATAATTATCCCCAACTGATTGAGCTGAAATTTTGCATACACGTTTGGATGACAATGCATGGTTAGCTAAGGACGTCATTCTAAATCCAATATAGCGAACTCTCAAAGATGGCGGACCAGTTATTTTTTATGCACCCCTATGATATGGGTATCAAATTAAAGGGTTTGCTGAGAAGAATACGGAATAAAATAACGTACTAATACCTTGTTTTTTTAAAAAAATTGTATATATGAACTTATTACGCATTCACTTTTGTCGAGGATGATGAGTGAAAAGCAAAGATACAAAATACTTATTTGAATGATTGCATTATTTAATAATTTCAATATAGTAGGTATGTGTTTTTGTAATAATTATATTTAGACATAGGTATCATTTTTTGTACGGATTATTATTTAATACTAGCTGGTTATCGGGCACTGATAAGATACAAAAACCTTGTGTTGATTGACTTTATTTGATGAGATTTTTGAGGGAAAAAAATGTTATATTATTTACCACCTATAAAATAGAGTAAAAAAATACCTTCCTTGTTTTATTGTCTGTATAATCGTACATTGTACTGCTCGTTACAATCACTGGTATGCGATGTAGAGCATTATACTGTAATAACATGCTATGTCAGTAGTTATACCTACTGTAATAACATGTCACAATTATTAGAGTTCATTAGCTGTTCTTATATACCTGTAAGTATTTTAATAATAGATCTTATGACGACTGTATTTAATGTACATCCCATAAAATAGAAAAATATTTATTTAATTCTTCATTTGTTGTTCAAAAACTTACCTCGCAGTTCTTCACAAAATAACCTATATTGTTTTTTTTTTTGAAATTGTGCATTTTTTTGTAGATCCATCAAAAGGTTTGTAACATATGGGAAAAATTATTGTGATTGCAACTGTAACGTAAAATTTTAACATCATATCAAAATTATGGTAGATTACTTAAACTTGCAAGAAGTTAATTTTTCTGACTAATTACGAAAAAGTTATATGCGGGGTGGGGGAATATTCTGAACACATGGAACTATCACAGATTATTGGACTCAAATTATGAGGGTTTTTTTAAGTTGTTTCGTCCAAAGATGTTTCGTTTGGATGATAGATTTAATTTTAAAATATCGGAATATACCCGTTTGCCGTTTTTTTTTCCTTCCTTTACAGTATATACTATTTTGCTTGTTTATCCTGCGATCCATTAGGTTGTTCTAAGTTTAGAATTCGTGGTTTAGCTAATGGTGTATACAATTATTCTAGATTGTGTTTAATCCCCTTCGTTTATGTTACTTTTAAAATTTGTGGTTTATCGAGTTACTTTCTTTTATGATAACGAACTATTTTGCTTTCAAAAGATCTATGTAGTAGTGCCTTTTTCCTCTTTTTCCGAATTTGAGGAATATATTTTTCAAACATCCAACAGTAATCCGCCATCATATTCAAGTCCCATCTTCCTTGATACCGTTGTTCCATTTCTCGAATATCTTGGTGAAATCTTTTGTCTAGTAAATTTTCAGCAACGTTTTTAAAACTAAACCATGCAACTTTTTCTACGTTGTTCATTACTTCAACAAAATTTTTATCATTCGACATAGTAATTTGGACTTTGGGACCCGTCAAATATTCCTTCTTTTAATTTTTCATCAGAAAGCTTCGGAAAAAAAATTACTTAAAACAGTTTCCTACTTTATTTAAAATTTACTATAAAATTTACAAATTTTTGTAGGTCGGTGTCGTAGGAATGACTAGTAAAGCGGGATTTTTTTACCCCAACTTCTACGCCAATGACCTAATAATCATTTGGGATTCATTGCCATTAAGTAAAAGCGATATCATTAAATAAAAAAAGGCTGTTACTTATACAGGGCATGAAATCTGGGAGCCCTTGGATTTTTCAATATTTTTACTAAGCACATGCGCATTTTAATACCAAATTAAAATATATCAGCTAGAAAAGTAATTAAGCAGTACCTTCATAAGAACATATATTTATATAACCTCTGTATGCATGTATACGTATTGTACTGTAAATTCCATGAAATAACAACTTTTTTTCAATAATTAATAATTTCTTTAAATCATTGTAGCTTGAAATACAAATTTATATACCTATGAAATGGTTAATGACCTAAGTTTTTTGTGAAAAGACGTTTCCACTTATAGTGTTATGCAGCTTGCAGAAAGTAGAACTGTGAATAGATCGTATTATTTTTTAAAAATGCAACATTATTGCAATGTACATACTAAATGTCGTAATACAATTTTAGAAATAAAATTAAATAGTTATAAAATGCAATTTGTCTTTCAAAACATGAAATGGAAATAGTTATGATATTAATAATAATATTTCATCGACGTTTTTTTATCTCGGTATACAAACATGTACTGTATAGTCTCCAAATCTAAAAAACTTTCATCAAATCAATGGTGCAACCAAAAAAAAATTGAATTGATATAATAGTTACAGTAGTTATATTATATGTATGGTATTACATTTAACAATTTTTAGAACTTTTAGAATTAAAACACACAAATCACAAAAGACCTAGAACAATTGCCAGACTAAAACAACTAAAATTACACACACGTATATTCTGTTCTGAACTTTATCGAAACTAAAAAATATATCAGAACTTTTTATATGTAATAATATAATTTGGCATAAATTCTGGATCACTTATTGGATCAAAATTTGATAAATATAAAATGTGTTTAAAAAGAATCCATTAATAAGTGTATTTTCAAATGGATGTAATAGAATGCTTTTGTAAATATGAAATAAAATAAAATTATTATGATGTAAAATAAAATAAATGTATTGCAATTATAATAGCTATACCGGGCGATTTTTTTAACATGACATTTTCAATATGTGGGGAAATAAGCACTCTACAAAAAAAAATATTATGATCAAAATTTAATCACGGAATACAATAGTGTTGAAATTAGTCCCCTTCCCCCTCCTTGTAGATAGGGCAGGGGTGTAACTTTGAAATCTTAGGAATAGGAACCTCTATTTTTATTGCAGATTTTACGGCTGAAAGTACGTAGATTTATCAGAAACATTTTTTTCGATTCGTGATAGATGGCGACGAAATTCAACATTTTCGATTTCTCCTACTCACAACCAACAACGATTCTGCAATACCTACATTTACAATAAAAAATACCACGTTATCACTGTAAATAATCAAAATTAATCCTAAAACAAATTTTATTTCTTAAATTTTCAATTACTGAACAATGACTTATCAAGAAGCTACTATTATCGTTAAACCAGGAACAGGCGTCCTTTTTGGGTAAATTGGCCAACGCGATTTCCTTCGCTTATGACTTATAGGAATGCTTGATTAAATCTGCTTTCAAATGAATATATTTTTTGTATTCAGTTTTGAAGATAATTTTTTTAAAAATATTTTATTATGGTTTCATTTAACGTTGGTGTTATTTCTTTCTTTGTGTTTTTTTGCAACTGCAAAAACACAAAATGAATGTACAAAGAAATAAATCCCTGACTTTAAGAAACAATTTATTTTAATCAAGCAGCCCGAAGGGAACAGAAAACCACTACGTCAAAATGAATAAACTTTCTTGATGACGAATTTGGAGTATTTACTACTATTTACATAAAACCTGGCATTTTTTATTGCAAATATGTTGTATGTATAGGTATAATTTCGTCGATTACAGCGCCATCTATCATGCGAATCTAAAATATGTTTCAGACAAATCCTACGTACTTTTAGCCGTAGAATCCGAATCTGCAATAAAAAATAGGAGTTCGTATTTAAAATTTCACAGTTACCACCTGCCCCACCTACAAGGAGGAGGAGAAGTGGATTAATTTTAGCATGTATTTTCTTCGCGGAATGATACAGTTTTGATTATGGGCATTTGTTTCGTAGAGTGCTTATTTTTCGAGATATTTTTGAAAGCTTTAA